AAGAAGAAAAAGTAAAAACAAATAAAATGTTCTATAGAAATTCTTGTCTGAAAGTAGCGGCTTCCAAATATTCTGTTTTTTAGCATTTTGCTGTATTTTCACCTTTTTTTTTTTGGGCTAGCATACAATGGAAGGGGGGGTGGAGCTCAATTAAGCGAGTACTCAGGGGAGGAGGGGCCTAAAGGTACAAATTGTGGGTTAACAAGCTTATATTTGGCTGTGGAAGGGGGTGGAGCTTAATGCCATGAGTCATCATTGGAACGATTGAAGGTATAAGTATTTTTGTCAAGTACTGGTGTATGTAATAAATTTGGGGGAGTGGGGGATGTGAGGTTTTATTTGCATGTTCATGTTGGAGTGAAATGTTTGTATCGGAAGCTCTGGTCCCCCATATGAGACACGAAGGACCAGTCCCCAGTATTGCCTCTGGTCTCCCTGCAGCTCATCTTTTCCTTGTTACTGGCCATGCCTTGTTCTGCGTTGTGTCTCTGTATGGGGGTGGCCATCTTGGTAGAGGCAGGGCTTGGCTTCCTTGTGTCAGAGCTGACCCCACCCCCCCTTATCTTATGATTAGTTGGGTTGTGATGATGATGAAGCAGCAGCAGAGGACGACGACGACCACCACCACATCCACACAATGATTGATGCAGGGAGATCCTTGCACTGCAGGTCCCCGGGTACAGCTTCCTGTCCAGCAAGGGGAAATGGTTGACTGGAGGAGTAATGAGAGAGGTGGAGGAAGCAGGGAGATCCTTGCACTGCAGGTACAGCTTCCTGTCCAGCAAGGGGAAATGGTTGACTGGAGGAGTAATGAGAGAGGTGGAGGAAGCAGGGAGATCCTTACACTGCAGGTCCCCAGGTACAGCTTCCTGTCCAGCAAGGGGAAATGGTTGACTGGAGGAGTAATGAGAGAGGTGGAGGAAGCAGGGAGAGCCTTACACTGCAGGTCCCCGGGTACAGCTTCCTGTCCAGCAAGGGGAAATGGTTGACTGGAGGAGTAATGAGAGAGGTGGAGGAAGCAGGGAGAGCCTTACACTGCAGGTCCCCGGGTACAGCTTCCTCTCCAGCAAGGAGAACAGTGAGCAGATCAGTACAGACATCACCAAATCTGATGACGAGCAGTCAGGGGGCAGCAGTGCCTTAGGTTCAGGATATCAGAGGCTCTAGACACAAGACGTGCACAGCTATTTTTCGGGAGAGGTTGAAGACAAAGGGAGAATTTTTGAGGATATGCTTTGCACACAATTAACATTTCTAGATGTTCACTTCAGGAGGACAAATCTTCACTTTCTGAGTTCAGCCTTCAACATCCTAACCTGCACAGGAGTGTTCAGGGCCTTTTTGAAGTCTGAGTCCTTATCGGCTGTGCCGTCGTGGACCGGTTGTATAGGAAGGTGGTGCCCTAGATCAAGGGTAGCCCAAACTCCGGCCCTCCAGCTGTGGTGGGACTACAAATCCCATGAGGCATTACAAGATTATCACAGCCATAGGCATGACTCCCGAGAGAGAGATGCATCATGGGATTTGTAGCTTCACCCACAGCTGGAGGGCCGGAGTTTGGCTACCCCTGCCTTAGATGGTTCTGGAACTGAATGGCATTCCATAGCATTGCATCTCCACCAGCCTGTCTGTCTCCACATAAGCTATATCAGATGTTCACACCAGCCCAGTGTGTTCCGGCACCGAATGGATCGTGTCCCGACCAGCTCACTGCGTTCTGGGGCAGAAATGAAAACTAATGCAGCCACCACGTCTGAGGACTATGAGCTGCCAATATGCCATATATATATATATATATTTCCCCAGTCATTTTTCAGGACAGCCCATGAGATCAGGCTCCGCCTGCCTGCAACAGGAAACACATCAACCACATTAAATAAATAGACTCCTCCTTCCATCCCAAGTCAGTTTTTTTTGTGTTTCTGCCGGCTACACAGGGACATCGTAATGTTTGTTGTTTTCAGGGCTCATGTTTGTTTGCCTTAGGGCTGAGCCTACCCTGCTATGCGTCGGGACCTACTCCAGGATTACCTGCTGCAGCGCATACAGGGCTTCCCTATCGGACCCCCATCCGATTCTTGGCCAAGGTTCCCTTCCATCACTCAGGGAAGGCAACCATCCTCCTGCGCGTGAGTAGGCGCCAGATGGTGACCCCCCCCCTGGTGTACAGCAGTGGCAAGGTGTGATGCCTAGGAATGCTGAGCCCAGGTTGTGGACATTGGTCTGGCAGCATAGGAGAGGTACAGGGAGGCTGGAGGAGTCCAGGGGTCCCGGCTACCTCGGCAGTAGGGGGCTCTTACCTGATGGTAGGGAGAGCAGGGTCAGTCTGCGGCAGCGTGGAGGTGTGGGTATATTTTTATCCATTGAAGTCGGTTGTGCTGAGACAGACGGCTTGTGATGGAAGGCGCTGCCCACCCCTACTCGGTACTGAATAGGGATGAGGGCGGCTCCCCCTGTACAGCTCCCCCCTACTCTTGCACAACTGAGATCGGGTTCAGACAACACTGGAAGGAACCACTTGCAGAGAGAAGAGCGGCAAACTATACAACCACTTCCCAAAAATGACCCTCAAATAACAGTGATCCCAGATATCGCGCAGAAAGTCAAACCTGGTAACGTAACTACATGCGTCGCACACGTGAAACTCCATGACTGACGCGTGAAAACTTCCCCCCCCAACCACCCTCATCCATTAGTCCATGAACCAGACGAACGGGGTCGTTGAATTGAGCCGAACGCTGGGGTGACCCGGCTCGCGTTGCGTACAATAAATAAAAGACGCATTATATATATATAAATAGCCAAAGTATAAAGAACGATGCAAATTGTGTATAATAAATGTGATAACGTGTATGACTAAAGGTAAAAACCAGTGGCGTAACAGCTATAGCAGGCCATGCAGCCGCAATGGGGCCCGGGGGTAGGAGGGGGCCCCATTAATGGAGCCGAATAGGAAAACTAAACTGTGAGGCTTCCAGTACAGGAGTGCTGAAGTCGGAGCTCAGGATCTGCCAGCCTCTACGGAGAAAGTTAGCTGGGGAGCCCCAAAGTTTTGCTATGGTGGCCCCCATGATTATTAGTTACGCCCCTGGTCAAAACACTGAAATGTAGAAAAAAGGGGGGCTCCACCATAAAAGCCTCCTGCATCCAGGTACTGCGTTATGTGTCTACCGAGCATCCCCAGGTCTACAGATAGTAACTTGTGACCTTAAGATGGCGCCTCCCCTGGTTCCTTCCGCAGATGGTCTTCAGCAATTGTGGCTCCAGGAGTATGGAGCCGCTTCATCGGGAGCGGTAGGTTGGTGGACAATCGGTTTACTACAATGGTTTGGGGGATCGGACGCACGTGGGGTATTGGGCTTTCTATAGCTTCTCGGCCTTTTGGCTAAGATCACGTGTAGTATCGGTTCTTATCAGTTTTCCGGTGGGGAAAAGAACCGTCCTTGCTTGGGATGGTTACTTAGTACTCGCTGGAGTGAAAGAGCGTGCTGGGTTGCTTCCTGTGAGAGGGGAACAGCCCGGTACAGGCTTTCTGACTGAAGGGATGCGAAGCTTGGTCTGGCTGGAGGGTTGGGGGCGGCAGAAGCCCGTGGTGTTGTACCCCCGTGGGGTTCATCAGAAAACCACTAGGGTGTGGGACCCCAACACTGATTCACTGTGCACTTGGACACGACACCATATTGCAATTTTCTGCACCTTCGCCTCCAAGACAGACCTTACGGCTAGTCCGGGCAATATTTTTGCACTCCGGCCCCTAAGGCCTGTCAGAGTGGTGCACTGGCACTCTTTATTTATTGCCACTGGCACTTTTTGATTGAAATTTGACCCACAGATTGCGGAAGGTGCAGGTTCCTTCGGGGGCCTTTTCCCGATGTGGGGAGGAGATTCTCTGCCCTAATATAGGGTTCTCTGTCTCCTCCCACCCAGGGGGTCTCTCTTCGGGAGAGCCCCCCACCTAGTACTGTGTGGGACCTGTTCCGGCAGGTCCGCAAAGGATCGGGGTCCACCGGCCTTTGGGTTGGTGGACCAACAGACTCAACCCATGTCAGGAGCCTTGCGCCCCGGGGGGGTCGGGAATCGAGGTCCCTTTATTGAAGGACCTTGCACCCTTGTGCACATTTTTGTGTGCTGTGATTTCACGGTTCATTTTATTTTGGTTCACAGGGGTTTGTTATTGATTCACGTTCTAAGAGCTTAAAAAAAAAAAAAAGAACTGGGCTTTCTATAGCCGCTCTATGGACCACCAACTTGACCTGACGAAGCGGGTGGAGCCGCGATACGCGAGGAGACAAAACTGCTGTATTGAGGTCTATCTGCGGAGCTAACCTTGGGGGAGGGGCATCCTCTTCCGGTTGCAGACTCGGGGCGTTCACTGTATGCTGCAATATATTATCATTTGACCTTCAGTCATGCATACATATATGACCTTCAGTCATATATACACTTTGCTTTTCACGGCGCGCATCGTTCTTTATACGTATGCAATATATGCGATGGTCACCCCATCATAGGACTCGTGAGTGAGTTCCCGGGTCGCTTGGTCCATTCCTAGACGGATGGATGGGGGTGTTTAGGGGACCTTTCATTGTTTTAGACATAAGAACGTGTGCAATGTGTGTCCTTCTGATGTTCTCCAGAAGGGAAA